TTGGGCCTACAAAATGTAAAGGGTGGGTCTGGGGGTAAGTCCAAGGTCACAGAAGGCACGCTTCAGAGTCCCTCCCCTTTTGTCTTACAGTCACCCAAAGGAGATTCAGATTTCTGAGGCGAAAGACGGCATCGGTTTTCTCGGAACTTACGGCGACCGGGGCGAGATCGGCCGAAGCGTCGTCATCGACGGAATCTTCCGAGAGCCGCGGGGAGTCCCTGCCTAATGAGTTATGGACTACATGTGTATAGCATTGTATATGTTTATTTCGATTTGTAGGTTGCTTCTTAGGCATGGTGTTACGACCCGCCCCAGGAAAAGGGGAGAGGGGGTAACTCAGGTTTTTATCAATAATTCCCTTGGGATGGATTAAAGTGAAACGACACTAAATAATCGGTGTCTAAAAACATACTGGCAAGGTTTATTTTAACAATTCTGTATCAACAGGCATGCTAGCAGTTTGGGTGCTGTCATACAACAATGTGACACAGAGATAACCTTTGGGGGGGAAAGAAAATGCATAGGGGAGAGAAAGGCAGGATAAGAGCAAGGGAGAGTAAGAGAAAGAAAAGCTGAGAGTGGACAGATGTATATAGTCACCGCCCACGGGGTCCGGCGATGCTTCCATGTCCGTCAGTTGAAGTGGTGGCCTTGATCTGCTGGGGGTGAAGGAGGGAAGCCCCCATACTCCAAGAAGTTATGGGTTATTATATCCATGGTTAGTGTCACGGGCCGTGCCTCGAGCCTCCAACATCTCCTAGGTCTGTGTGCTGAGTCTTTTGTGTCGCCTGGTTCCCGCCTTTCAAGATTAGCAGAGGGAGGGAGGGGCCTGATTGCTCGTCAGATGTATCAACAGTCAAAAGCCTGCAAGCTCAGCTCTTATCTTTTCAGGACTTCACACCTTCAGCACTGGAGGGAGGGAGGGGCCCGACTGCTCATCAGAGGTATCATGCAAGTCAAAAGCCTGCAAAAGTCTCCTAGAATGCATAAATCATTAACCATTTCGGTCTCTGACACATGGTTATTGTGTTTTCCAAGTAGAACAGGAAAAGTCCGGCCACCGTTTCTTTGTATTGCCGCTGTCATTTGTATCGCCTCGTACTGCTCCCTATTGTGTACTTGTGTAGTTGTAGTCGTATCGGTCCGTATCCGAAGGTCACGGTGTCGCGTTCCATGTGTCAGTTACGAATTATATCTCTTTGCACCTTCATTTGTAGTGCTTTTTATGTCCTGTCACTTGTATTGCCATGTCATGTTCAGTCTGGTATACTTCTATATTTACAGTTGCATTACTCTGTATGTGAAGGTTGTAGTGTTGTGTTGCTCTGTGTCAGTTAGGAGCTGTACAGCTTTGTACCTTACTTTGCTTTGCTTTTTATGTTCTGTCATTGGTATTGTCTCATAATGCTGAGAGGGGTGTGCTCAGCCATGAGGGGTGTGCTTGTTTTGTCAGACTCAGCGATTTGTTTCTTTTTGGGGTTTTTTTGCAGGCTCCAGGGGAACCACATTCCCAAGGAGGGCCGTGGATGTACAGTGATGGTCCCTCATGGGCCAGTAGGTAGCGGAGCGGTTGAGGTGTGAGTGAGGATGAAAAAGGTTTGTGAGTGTTTCGCAGTGGTTTTAACCTTGTGTTAGTGTTTTCCTCTTTCAGGTTGTTGTTACATAATTTAAGATTTAGAATAAAAAAAAACCAGCTAGGGGATTTTTTCTTTCTTTTTCCCCCTCTGGGATTTTTTTTCCCAGGTCTGCGAGGCGACGTTTGTCGCCAAGGTTTGGGCACGGGCTGTCCCTGGCCCCGGGTTTTGCAAGGCAGGACGATTTTTCGATTTGTGAGGCTTCCCCAGACCCGTGTTCCTGAGGGAGCGCTGCACATTTGTCCCAATAGTTGCTGGTGGGTAATGGAGTGGTTGAAGAGTGAGTGAGAATGGGTTTATGTGTAAGCTCCAGGGGGTTTGTGAGTGAATGAGTGTAACACTAAGTGTGTGGGGGTTTTTTCTTTTGATTTGCATCCGGTGTCAAATCGAAAAGTAATTCAATCACGTTTGTAGAAAGCAGGTTTCATTTTCTCTTGTCTTGCTTTTTTTTGTGGTTTGTTGGTATTGCCGTGCATTGTTTTGTAATTGTGTTGACCAGTGGAATACAAGGTATTGCATCTGTGGGTTGTACTGTATTGTAACTTGTGTTGTAACCTGTGTGCTAACCTGTATAGTAACTTGTGCCTTGTAACCGGCCTTGTACCGTGCCTGGTAACTTGTGCAATTTCACAAGGTCACAAGCAGTCATTCCATAAAAGTGGCGGTCTGGAAAAGAAAAACTCAACACGATTCCAGTATGGGGAAACTGGAATGCTTTATTGAACATGAGAACACAATTTTAAAGGCATCTGGGGCTGGACATGTTAATGAAGGGAACAAGCTCTGTTAATTGGGGAGTTACACAAGTTTTTACTGCAATTTCCAAACAGTTAATTTTTCTTCTAGTAGGATTACATGGGGGATAGAGGGATTACAGGGGTTTAGACATGGTTTTAACAAACATCTCAAAAAGTCCTTTCTTAATTCTTCTTGGAGCCAGGTTTATATCTTCGGGTTGCACATCAACAGGTCTCTGGACAAGGGTCCAAATTTCTTCAATCACGAGATGTTTGTCAGCCTTGTTTTCCAAGGTTTGTGATTCAAATTTACCAAGCTTCCCTTTGCTGAAAGCTGGGTTTGGGCTCCCACAAATAAAGTTGCAATAAAGTTGTGGGGGTTTTTCCCCCTCTTTGGCTCCTGTCTTTATTTTGTGTTATGGAGTCTTTTCTCTATTTCTTTCTTCTCTTCTTTCCCTTTCTCCTCTTCATCTCTCTTCTTTCTTTACTCTGTTCCCTCTTAGTTATTTCTCTTAGTTATTTCTCTTAGTTATTTCTCTCTCTTGCCTTTTCTCTTGCCTTTTCTCTTAGTTTCTTGTCTTGCTTTTCTTTTGCTCACTTTGCTTAGTTTAAAAAAGCAGCAGGACGGGGACTGGTTTGCTCCCGGGGAGTAAATCTTTACAATAAATTTTATTATTTTTAAGATTTATTCCCCGGGAGCAAGCCAGCCCCCGTACTGCTGCATAAAACTTATTCTTTTTATTCTTTTTATATATACTATACAGCACCTAAATAGCCCCCCTCATGCAATAATCAGATAGCTCACACCTTATGCACACCTACACCACTAATTAACGAGGAATAAATGTCTAATTAAAGACTAATTACCAAATGAAGTAACTAATTAACTAATTTTGTTCCACAACCCACTGATTAGCACCTGATGAGCTAACAAGGCAACTAACTTTTTTCCACTGCACCCTAATTACCACATAATGACCTAATGACATAATTAATTATTTTTCACCAACCACTAATTAACAGCTGATGAGCTAACAACAGAATTAGTTTCTTTCCACAGCCCACTAATTACCAGCCAACAAGCTAGCTAGCTAATTAATTTTCTGCATCACCCACTACTAGGTAGGCAACAACCTAATTAGCCAGTTAATTTTTTGCACCTCCCACTAATTAGGACTCGACAAGCTGATTACCTCATTAACTTTTTATACCACCTCCTATCTACCACCTAATGACCTAATCACATAATTAATGTTTTCCACGGCCTCCTACATACCACCAAATGAGCTAATTCTAAAAGTAATTACTACATAGCCCACTAATTAATTTTCTTGACAAACCTTAACTACTTCCTAATTACCTCATCACACAATGAATTATTTTTGCCAAACCTTAATTAGCTGCTAATTACCAAAGTAGTCCCTAATGACCCCATTAATCATTAATTTTTTCCACTACACCAAAATTAGTTGCTAATGACATTATTACAAAACTAATTTTTTTCCACCACACCCCAATTAGTTCCCAATTACCAACGTAGATAATTAATACTTTTCACCACATTCCTACCAATTACCGAATTATCTAATTTTTTTGGACAAACTATGCTATTAAACAGCTTTTTTTAACCAAGGATCCCATAACTGCAAAACCCCCCAGCAACACTGTCACCTGGTGACATAGAGAAGGAATTGCACACACCCCAAACATCGAACGTGCCACCGACCGGCTGTGGGCTGTGGGTTGGGGTCAGGGGTTAGTGGTTAGGGTTAGGCTTAGAGTTAGGGTTAGGCTGAGGGTTGGGCTTACGGTCAGGGTCAGGGTCAGGGTCAGAGTTTAGTGTTAGGGTTAGAGTTAGGGTTAGGGTTAGGGTTAGGGTTAGGGTTAGGGTTAGGGTTAGGGTTAGGAGTTAGGGTCAGGGTTAGGGTTAGGGTTAGGGTCAGGGTTAGGGTCAGGGTTAGGGTTAGAGTTAGGGTCAGGGTTAGGGTTAGGGTTAGGGTTAGGGTCAGGGTTAGGGTTAGGGTTAGGGTCAGGGTTAGGGTTAGAGTTAGGGTCAGGGTTAGGGTTAGGGTCAGGGTTAGGGTTAGGGTTAGGGTTAGGGTTAGAGTTAGGGTTAGGGTTAGGGTTAGGGTTAGGGTTAGGGTTAGGGTTAGGGTCAGGGTTAGGGTTAGTCCCCGGGTGTGACAAAGGGAGGACCAAGGCAGGGGGTGCTGAAGACGGCTCAGGTGGTGCAGAACTTCTGGGCCTTCACTTGGTGTTGTCCCTGGGACCAAGTGGGACAAGATGTGTTTGAAAGTTTCTTGCTGCCCTGCTGTGTGCTGCCCGTTGGCTGGTGGAGCAGCAGAGCAGAAATTCACTGTTGGCATCTGGCAACGCAGCAGGTGAGAGCAGTTCTGAGGGGGAGAGGGGGTGAGGTGTCTGCTCTTCAAGAGAGACAAGACAAAGGAGTTGGGGAATTGTCCTGGAACTCTGACCTGGTGGGCTTGGAGCGCTGGGTGGGCATTTCTTAAGAGCTGTGGTGGGTCCCGCCTGCTTGGGCTGGGATCCCACTTCCTCCTGAGCCTCATTTCATGGCAGTGTGTCCAGAGGCGGCCCGGCTCCAGGCTGAAGCAAAAAGCCAGAGCGGGTGATGCGGGAGCTGCTCCAGCACCTACTGCAGCCTCCGGCCCGGTGGGAGCGTCCCGGGCCCTGCCCCGGGCGCCCTGAGGCGGGGCAGTGCCCACTCCCGCCGGCCGCCCTCACAAGGCCCAGGCCGCCTCCTTCCCACAAGGCCCAGCAGGGCCCCCTCACACCTGCCCCGCCCTGCCCTGTCCCGCCCGGCCCCACCCTGCCCCGTGGCCTCTGTCACACCCCACGCTGACGTGCTGAGCCTTCCACCAGCCATTGTGACGCCACAGGCGCCAGTCGGGCACGGCTTTGTTGGTGCCCGCAGCCGGCGCCCAGAGCTGCTGTAGCCTCTCGGGGAGCAGCAGCACATCCCGCTCGGGGAGCATTGCGCGCCTGCATCGCCGTCTTGGCAGCTGCAGGCCACGACCACTGCGCAGGGCGACCTCGTCTGCCTTGTGCTTCATACCCTGTGCCCATCCTTCTTCTCGTCCCCTTTGTCACCCTCCCCCTAAACCTCGCCCCGTCCCATTCCTCATCCCCACTTGGCTCCCGGCAGCCCGCCGGGGGCTTCTTGCCCTTCCTGCTGCTGGGAGCTCCAAGCAGGGCCATGCCGTGGCTTCTGAGCAAGAAGCGACGGCAGTCGCCCTCCAGCAGCCCCAGTGGGCAGCCCTGGGCTGCCACCAGCTCCAGCAGCGCCTCCCCGCTCCGGGAGCAGGGGCTGGGCAGGCTGCACCGCGCGGCCGCCCGCGGGGACCTGGGCTGGCTGAGGCGCTGGCGCTGGTACGTCAAGGTAGTCGGCATCGACAGGCCAGACCAGGAGATGCGGTGAGTTCTGGGCCACGCTGATGGCACACCTTGGCTGCTCCTGAGCCAAGCTGCAGTAGTCCTTGGCAGCCCTCTCTTAGGGACAAGGCTTGAAAAGTGACATTTGCCCTGTCAGCTGGGAGAGGGAACTCTTGAGCTTTTCACTGCTCGGAGCTGCCGGCCGGGCTCCAGCGCTGTTGCAAACACGTGTTGCCCACCTACCCCTTGGCCGTGGTCTCTCTGCAGGGCTGTTCTGCAGCTGCTCAGCCCTCACCTGTTCCCTTCTGCCCTCTGGCTCATCAGCACAGGCCTGTAACAGCAGCAGCAGCAGCAGCAGGAGGAGCAGAGTCGGAGCAGGGTCCCCAGGGTGCTGGGTAGAGACACAGCTTGGGCTCGTCCTTTGTCTGTCTGGGTTAAGAGTGTCTGTTTAATTTTTAGGACACCTCTGCATCTGGCTTCAGCCAATGGCCATGCAGATGTCATCAGATATCTGCTAAGAAAGAACAGCCAGCCCAACCTCGCTGACAACTTCAAGAGAACGGCCCTGATGAAGGTGTGTGGAATGCCTTCTGAGCTTGGAGGTGGGGCTTAGTGCTGGTGTGTTAAAGGGGAGGTGTCTGGCAGGATTCCTTGCAGGGCAGGGCCATAGAAACACGCCTATTGCAATGGGCACGGCACAGCCTCTGTTAGCTGATCTTTGAAGATGGTCTTCTATGCCAGCACTCAGGAGCTGAGGGAGTTGTGAGAGAGGGGGATGGAAAAGTTGGAAGTCTTTCCCTTTTGGTGTGTTGTTGCCAGGCAGTCCAGCAGGAGCAGGAAGAATGTGTTGCTGTTCTGCTGGAACACGGTGCCGACCCCAATCTGGCAGACGCTGACGGCAACACTGCCCTTCACCTGGCTGTGCTCTCTAAAAACACAGCTGTAGCAGGGCTGTTACTGGAGCATCATGCCAAGAGTGATGCTCAGAACCAGGTAACCTTGGCATGTGGCTAAAGCTGCTCTTTCCAACAGCTGCACAGCTTGTCTGTGTCTTTCTAATGGGGATTCTTTCTCCTTTTAGTGGGGATTTACCCCCTTCAAACTTGCAGCCTTCCAACAGCATGAGGAGATGGAGTGCCTTCTGAAACAAGCAGCTGACAGGCCTGCTCAAGCCCAGGGGGAAAGGTGAGGGCTTTGTCAAAACAGCACCCGGGTGTTCTCGGTAGTCTGCAAGTGTGACCCAGACGAGGGGTGTGGCAATGAGCTGGGAAAAAGAAGGAGCAGCCCCGTGGAAGCAGTTCCCCGTGGGACTGGTAAATGCAGGTCTGCACTTGGCTGCTCTCCTACATCAGGGGCTCTCATCCTTTGCCCACTGAGGTCTGCAAGAAAGCCTTGTCTGTGGTGCCCTCTCCCCACCCAGAGCCAGAGCCATGGGGAAACTTGCCAGTAGCTCAGCAGCGTGGCTGCTCTGCAGGCCAGGGGGGTTTAAGGCACGGCAGAGTTGGGGCGTGAAGTGCTCTGAAGGGAAGCATTGGGGGAAAGAGAAGCAACACTGTCCCAGGGGACACGAGGGGCTCCGAGCGCACAGGAGGAAACTTCCTGCCATGGAGATGGTCAGGGGGTCGAAGGGCTTGCCCCGGGAGTTTGTGCAGCCGCATGTGGGGGGACTTTGAAGAGCAGTGCAAGGAGCCCTGAACAGCACGGCCTGACCTCGTAGCTGAGGCTGCTTTAGGGAGGCCCCTTCTAAGAGAAATTCTCCAGTGCTTCCATGGACTTGGCTTTGCTTTCACGGAGCTTGTAGGAAAGGGGGAAAGAGCTCTTTTGGGAGCAAGCAGGGGAAAAATGATGCAGGATCAGACATGTTTCTGATGAAATTTTGGATGCTTTAGGACTGCTCTTGTGGTTCCTGGAAGCCATGAGGCTCACCTGGAGGAAGATAATCTGTGCTTGCAGAAGGAGTTGGACAGGGTTGACGCGGAGGTATGGAAAGCCTGTCCCCACAGGGATAAACCTGGGGGTGCCTGTTGCTTCCTCTCCATCATGAAAACGGACAAACCATCCGTTTGGCATCCTCTGCTTCCTGCTCAGGGGCTGCTGGGCACCTCTCTCTGCACTACATTCCGGGTCTTTCCCACTTCAGAAAACTCCCCGTGCTCCCCATGTGCAATCCTGGGCTCCCGAGCACATGTGCCAGAGCACTTGGCCTCTGACACTTGCCAGACACCTTCCTTTAGGGAGATGAACTATTTCACTCCTCTCTTCCTGGAGTAGCAAGCAAGGCAATACAAGAAGTGTCCCAGGTCACAAAACAGGTCGGAGGGGCAGTGTCGGTGCTTAGAACTGAGCTGTAGGAAAGCAGTGGAGGGAGGGGAGAGGCTGCTGTAAAAGAGGACAAAGGCATCCAGCTTGTGTTCATTGGGGAGTAGAAGTGAAGCTTTGAAGGGACTTGAATGGAATGCAGTTCTTTGGGCAGAGGGGATGCACACAGACCTGCAGCACCTGAGTTCTTCAGCAGCAGCTGGCTCCTCTCTGGAAAAGCTCCCCTGACAACTGTGCATTCCTCCCGTGATTTTACAGCCGCGGGAGGAGGAAGAAAAGCATCTTCAGTCCGAGCATCGTGTTGGTGACTTGAAGACTGCCTTGGATGACAAGGGAAGAGAAGCAAGAACTTCTTCCCAGAAACTGCAGGACGTCCCGTTGGCATCTTCCGAGACCAATCCGACCGTAAAACAACTGGAAGAAGACGCGCAAGAGTAAGAGAGTAACCCAGTGAAGCGAGGGGTCTGTGGCTTTGGGGGATTGGGTGGAAACAAGGGCAGAGTCAGTGGGATTTTGAAGGACACTTCTGCTGTGGATTTTGTTCCTTAGCACAGTTTGTCTGGCATTGGCTTTTCTGGGAATAAGACCTGTATTTCTTCTTAAGCTTTGCAAGTGGAAACAGCAGATTGGAAGCCACTGTCCAGCAGCCAAGCGACAGCGTTGAAGCCCTTCTGAGAGACCTGCAAGCCTCTGCCTCAGTAAGCTGGTCCTAAATGTCCCTTTTTGTGACTCTTGAGCCTAGTTGCCTATTTCTGTGGGGAAACTGTAAGAGGAAGTTTTCCTGGAGAGCCTGGGGAGCTCAGTTTCTGCCTTCTCCTCAGCAGAGGCTGCTCAGAAAGCAGCCTGCTCCTTTCCCCAGCTGCTACAAAAGCCCTGAGGGTATTTGTTGTGCTGGACACTCGAGATCATAGATTCTAAATGAGGAGTTTCATCCTGAGCTCCAAGGGACCTGGAAGTATTGCTGCCAGAAATGTCTCCCAAATTCTTAAGTAGGTCTAAAGTTCCTTCTTTCTGTTGGGGAATCTTTCAAGTGTTTTCTAGGCTCGTTTCCAGTAGATGATAAATACAGTTGCCATGGCCACCCCCTTGAGAGGTTTGCCCAGAATTCACTGCCTTTAGATCACGCTGAGTTCCCTTTTCTTTTTTTTCTTGCTGTGTCCAGGGTGGTGAACTTTCCCAGCAGCTGGACATGGAGCCTAGAACAGGCATGCAGCCAGAGGCCCCAAAGCAGGCTTTGAGAGAAGAGCTGTCCAGTCTGCTTGGGAAGTGTGAAAAACTGGAGAAGAGCAAATGTCAGCTGCAAGAAGAGATGACAAAACTCCATCATCGATTGGAGACTTTGGGGCTGGATGGCAGCCAAACAGAACAATGGAAAAGAGAGGTGGCAGAACGAGCTGACCAGGAAATAAGGTCAGCCTCGTTTTGCCAGTAAGTGAATTTCTCCCCAGTGTCCAGAGGCACTACGTAAACTTCTCTCGTGGCCATGGTTTTGGGTCTTTTTCTTTTGCTCCTGTCTTCTGTGTGTTAGCTTCTGTCTCTGCTGAAGGCAGTGGCAGAAGGCAATCTGGTTGGGCAGGAGTGCTGTCATGGGTTCTGCTTTGGTTGCTGCTGGGAGTGAGGAGGCACAGCCGCCTCTCTGAGTAAGGCTGGGCCCTTGGAACTGGGTGTGTGCCATTTTGTGCTGGGCAGAGCTCTCTTTTTCTTGTGGTGGTTGAAGGTGCACTGTCTCCTTCAGGCACAGGCAGCCCACCAGGACACATTAGGACAAATTGCAGACAGTCATTGTGATTCCATGAGAATCCAGCTGGAAGAAAGAATTAGAGATCTGGAAAGTGAATTGGACAGGGTCAAAAAAACCCAACAAGAGAGTGCTTCTTGGAAAGAAGTAACACAGGGACAAATGGAAATGTACAAGGAGCTGTATCAGGAGGAAGTGACAACCAGAAGATGCCTTGCCAAGAAACTGGAAAGGTAAGTCCAGGCTTTTTTGGAGTGGTAATAAGAGACTCCTTTTTCTTCATGCATTTGCCTTCGAAATCATCTTCTACATCTGGCCAGCATTACTGCCCTCCATTGGCCACCAGGGTCTGATGGAGTTGCCAAGACGCTCTCCTTGATATTGGAAAAGTCGTGGCAGTCAGGGGAAGTCCCAGGTGAGGGGAAAAAGGGAAACCCACTGTCCCCATCTTTGAAAGGGGTAGAAAGGAGGGCCCTGGGAACTGCCAACCTGTCAGCCTCCCCTCTGTGCCTGGGAAGGTCATGGAAAAGATCCTTCTGGAAGCTCTGTCAAGGCACATGGATGACAGGGAGGTGATTGGAAGCAGCAGCACAGCTTCCCCAAGGGCAAGTCCTGCTTGACCGACCTGGTGGCCTTCTAAGAAGGAGTGACAGCACCAGTGGACAAGGGCTACCCATGTCATCTCCCTGTCATTCTGGAAAGCCTTTGACACAGTCCCCCACAACATCCTTCTCTCCAAAGTGGAGAGAGATGGATTGGATGCGTGGACTGTTAGATGGATAAGAAATTGGGTGAACAGTCCCATGCAGAGGTGGTGATCAATGGCTCAGAGTGCTGAGGGCCATCAGTGCCGAGTGGTGTCCCTCAGGGGTCTGGGTTGGGCCCAGTGTTCTTTAATCTCTTCACTAATGATCCAGAGAAAGGGATGGAGTGCGTCCTCAGCAAATTTGAGGCTGACACCAAGCTGAGGGGTGTGGTTGACACAGCTGATGCCACCCAGAGGGCCCTGGACCAGCTGGAGAAGTGGGCCCATGGCAATCTGCTGATGGTTTAACCAGAGCCAGTGCAAGATGGTGCCCGTGGCTCAGGGCAGCCCCTGTATCAGTGCAGGCTGGGGGATGAAGAGGGGCAGAGCAGCCCTGCCGAGAAGCCCTTGGGCTGGAGGAGAGGCCGGACATGAGCCGGCGATGTGCGCTCGCAGCCCGGAAAGCCAATTGTGTCCTGGGCTGCGTCCAAGGCAGCGTGGCCAGCGGGTGGAGGGAGGGCATTCTGCCTCTCTGCTCTGCCCTTGGGAGAGCCCAGCTGGAGGGCTGCATCCAGCTCTGGGCTCCTCAGCACAGCAAGGACCTCCAGCTGTTGGACTGAGCCCAGAGGAGGCCACCAAAGGGCTCAAAAAGATGGAGCACCTCTGCTAGGAGGAAAGGCTGGGACAATTGCAACCCTTCAGCCTGGAAAAGAGAAGGCTTTGGGGTGACCTACTGGTGGCCTTTTGGAGTGTGAAGGGAACCTACAAGAAGGATGAAGAGAGTGCATTTAAAAGAGCCTGTAAGGGAGAGGACAAGGGGGAATGGCTTCAAACGGAAAGAGAGGAGGTTTAGATTTGATCCTCGGAAGAAATTGGTTCCTGGGAGGGTGGTGAGGAACTGCAACAGGTTGCCCAGAGAAGCTGTGGATGCCCCATGCCTGGAAGTGTTCAAGGCCAGGTTGGATGGGGTTGTGAACAAGCTGGTCTGGTGGAAGGTGTCCCTGCCCACAGCAGGAGGCTTGGAACTGGATGATCTTTAAGGTCCCTGCCAAGCCAAGCCATTCTAGGCTTGGATGCTGTCTGTGCTGTTTCTGTGAGACTGTGGGGGAAAGGCTGGTTCTTCCCGTGTTTCATGGTTTTCTTCACTAATTTGCTGTGCAGGTTGGAAAAGCTTCTGAGGATAGAGAGGAGGAAAGTCAGGGTTAATGAAGAGAAAGAAAGCCAGTCCCAGCTGGAAGAAATGAAGAGCAGATATTCTGAAAAGGTCAAGGAAGTTGATAGATTACAAGCAGAGGTGAGCTGTGCTCTGGGTGGGGCTTTTTGGTTGTGGTGTTCCTTCTTTTGGAACCTGGGAGATGCTTTCCCTCTATTTCTTGTCACGTTGATGATTTTTTTTATTTCCCTGGCTGCATTTTGGATGTGATGGGCTTTTCTTAATGCTCCTCCTGCTGTTCCAGTGGGAGATGACTCGAACTAATCCGGAGGTAGTTCTCCTTCTGGGGAAAGATGCAAATGTTAATGCAAAGCAGTAGGTGTAAGGGCTGATGGAGGCCAGGCTGTCCTGCAGAGGAGGGGCAAGCCAGGAGTGGCAGCCAGCCTGGCAGGGTGTGTGAGCTGAGGGGCCAGGGAGCCGTCCCACAGGCCCTGAGCAGGAAGAGCAGAACAGGTCCGCTGACAGTGAGCGGGGTCAGCCAAGAGTGCAGATCCCCCGGCTGGGCCTGAGGGATGGGCAGGTCTGCCGTCCTGGCAGGACATCACGTGCATGGGCTGAGAGCAGTGGGGCCCAGCTCAGGCCTGGCTGCAGCTGGAGGGAGGCTGTGACAGCGTCCTCTGGGTGTGACAGATGAATTGCTGCCCTGGCAGAGAGGGGAGGAACAGCGCTGTCACTGGCAGGGCACCATCAGCCCCTGAGCCCTGTCTCAGGCACGAGCTGAGCAGGAGGCACTTGAGGTTTGGCTTTTCTCCACAGTGTTGTTGCTGCCCAGGGCCCAAGGAGGACAGGGGCCTCCCAGGGGAAAATCTGTCCCTTCTTGCTCACGGGGAGCTGTTTCAGCCCATCCTGTGGCGGGGAGCCAGAAGGACTGTTCCCAGCAGTGCTTTTGAGGCTGCTCTGCCTGTGCAGCAGTGGCACAGAACCTCTCATTCCTTCTCCCCTCGTCACTCGGATCCGTTGCTAAAGCGGCGTCTGTCAGAGTCACGCTTGGGTTTGAAGGCATCCCTGCAGAATGGCTTCCTGCCTTTGCAGTCATTCCTTTGGAGTCCAGAAGCTTGGAGCATTTTTGCATGAGGAACTCCAAAAGGATGGGAAGCTGAGGAATCCCATGACAAATGATGGGAAAGCTGTTCTTGCTGGAAAAGAAGAGCCTGATTGCACTTTGTGTCTAGTCCTGAGCCAGCAGATGATGAATAAAGTCTCCCTGGGCACCCCCTTTTGGGGTTTTCCCAGAATTCACTGCCTTTACATCGCGCTGTTCCTTTTTTTTCTTTCTGTCTGCAGGTTGCTGAACTTTCCCAGCAGCTGGACAGGGAATGTAAACAGTGCACGCAGCTGGAAGCCAAAAACCAGGCTTTGCAAGAAGAGCTGTCTGCCCTGCGTGGGAAGTGCGAGAACCTGGCGATGGACAAATGCCAGCTGCAAGAAGAGCTGGCAAAACTGCATCATCATTTGGAGACCAACTTGGTGGATTGCAGCCAACTAGAACAATGTAAAAGAGAGGTGGAAGAGCGAGCCGACCAGGAAATAAGGCAAAAACTCCAAGAAGTCAATGAGTTTTTGCAAGTAAGTGAATTTCTCCCCAGTGACCACAGGCTCTATGTAAACTTCTCTCGTGGCCATGGTTTTGGTCTTTTTCTTTTGCTCCTGTGTTCTGTGTGTTAGCTTCTCTCTTTGCTGAAGGCAGTGGCAGAAGGCAATCTGGTTGGGCAGGAGTGCTGTCCTGGGTGTGGAATGTGCCGGCAGGTCCCTGAATCCAAAGGCTGCCCAAGGCAGATTCCCACTTTGCAGTGCCTGGGGGGGATCTCTGTGTGCTGCTCTGCTTCTCACTGCTCATCCTTGGATGGGTTTGGCAACTTCCAGCTGGCATGGCCAGACCTACAGGTGCTGCTTTGTCCTTGCAGGGGGGGAAGGTGCTCAGAAAAGGAGTCCCTTAAATGACAGGGGTGGGGCTGAGGGGGTGGAGGTGGGGGATGCTCTTCTTGTCTTTGAAGAATCCTTTTCCATGTGCCCTGTCCTACAGACACAGGGTCTCTTCATTAGTAGCTTTGAAGAAGAGTGCTAATTTGGGCTTCTTTGCCAGTGCAAAGAATTCTTTGCCCTGGGAGCTCCTGGGTTCTGCCTTGGTTGCTGCTGGGAGTGAGGAGGCAGAGCCGCCTCTCTGAGTAAGGCTGGGCCCTTGGAACTGGGTCTGTGCAATTTTGTGCTGGGCAGAGCTCTCTTTTTCTTGTGGTGGTTGAAGGTGCACTGTCTCCTTCAGGCACAGGCAGCCCACCAGGACACCTTAGAAGAAATCAGAAGCAGTCATTTCGACTCACTGAAAAAGCAGATGGAAGACAGAATTAGAGATCTGGAACGTGCACTGGGAAGGAGAAAAAGCAACCAAGCAGAAAGACCTTTTCCAAAAGAATCCACCCAGGCAGAAGTGGACAAGTACAAAGAGCTGTATCTGGTGGAAGCCAAAACCAGAAAAAGCCTAGCCAAGAAACTGGAAAGGTAAGTCCCTGCTTTTTTGGACTGGTAAGAACAGACTCCTTTATCCTTATGCAATTTCCTTCTAAAATCCCTTTTCTACATCTGGCCAGCGTCAGGTGGGAAAGCAGAACGTGGCATCTTTGTGGGGAAAGTTCCTTGAGACCCTTCCCTTCATCAGACCTGTCTTCCTTTCTCTTTAGAGTTCCAGCAGTAACCCCACAGCAGCACCACTATGGCATTGTTGGTGTCTTCTCAAGTTGAGGTTGTTTTAGCAGGCAGTCTTTTTGCCAGTCTCAACTCTCCTCATCCCGTGGGTGACAGAGAAGATGAATCTTGTTCCCTTTGCTGTTTGAATAAGGAGAGGCCTCTCGCAGAAGAGAGTTGGATTCTGTGAATCCAAACTAAGAAGGCTCTTTCTTGGCTTCTGTTTTGGCAGCGGGTCTGAGGGTTGAGCTTTCCTTGAGAAGGCCAGGCTAGCCCAGAGTTCTTATGGAGGTGCCACTCGCTGCTCCTTGCACTTGGTGTGATTTCTTAGGAACAGGCCCTGTGAACAAGCTCAGATCAAAGGATGTGCTGGTTTTGGACGCTCTTCATGCCCTTGGCTTTTAGAAGTCGAGTAGTAGCCAAGGCCGTGGAGGGTAATTTTGCGAAAGCCTTCCTGCCAAAAATGACTTTGTGTGCTTGTGAATGTTTCAGAGCTAATGAGAGACTTGCAGAGGCCAACACCAAGCTCCTTTGGGAACGCCACAGAAGCAGATCTGCAGTCCCAAGCAGCGCCGTCAGCGGACACCTGGCTGCAAGTCCACTTCTGGATTCAACTGGCCTGGGACATCTTGGCATCAGTTTGGGACTGAGCAGAAGCCTGGGTCTCAGAACAGCACCCAGACACCTGTGGTAAAGCTGAAGACAGGTATGTATGAATTTTCCAGAGTGGTCAGAGGCAAAAAAATATGGAAATGGAAGCAATGAGCTGTGGAACTCCATTCTTTGACAAGAGAAACCGTGGGAAAGAGCACTGTGGTGCAGAAACCTCCCACCTAAGTTCTACACTCTTAACTCTGTCAATGCTACATCTTAACTGTGTCTTTTCTGTATAATTCTGGGCACGACAGGAATGGGATGCAAAAATGGCTAGAGGCCTTCAACGAGGTAATGTGTCATTATGTCAGGAGGGTTTTTAAGCAAAAAGGTGACTATTTCTAACTCTTGACAGCTCTCCAGCCATTTTTTCCAAGTTCCTGTGAGAAGTAGGTTTTGGGGGGTTTTCTGCCAGCCTTCCAGTTGAGACTGGAATGTGAAAACTTGCTGCTTCCCAAAATGTTGCATCCAATGTTATGCAGTTGCCTGGAAAAAGCCAAGCGCAAAGAAACACTTGGCTGAAGCTGAAGTTGCCCTTCACTAGAGTTGATCTCAAGCACAAACAGCAAAGCAGCCACGAGACCAGATTTTTAAAAGCTTCAGCCATCACTTCCCCTCCCGTGTACACCCATGGCATTCAGCACTAAACCAAACCATCCCCATTCTTTGCTGTTAGTTCTTGATTTTTGCTAGGATTCTGTGATTCATGGCTTGTCTTGGTAGCTTAGGTGGTGCAGTCTTTCTTGGAATAAGCAAGAAGATCAGTGACAAAAGAGAATCTGTCTCTGGGAAAAGATTATTCGGTCCTTTTTCGGCAAATATCAGTTCAGTGCTTGCCATCCATAGCATAAAACCTGCTGTAGAATTTGAGGCCAGGTGTCCAAAGAGGGCTGTCCAATGTGGTTTCAGAGCCAACAGGGGGACCACAGACATGGGGTTTGTTCTCAGACAACTGCAAGAGAAGTGCAGGGAACAGAACAAAGGTCTCTCTGGAACCTTTGTTGAGCTCACCAAGGCTTTCCATCCTGTGAGCAGAAAAGGTCTGTGGCAGATTTTGGAACATTTACATTGTCCCCCCAAGTTCCTTAAAATGATCATCTCGCTCCATGAGGATCAGCACGGCCAAGTCAGATATGGCAATGCACTCTCTGAGCCCTTTCTAATATCCAATGGTGGGAAACAAGGCAGCGTTCTCGCACCAACCCTGTTCACAATCTTTGTCAGCAGGATGCTCCAAAGGGCCATGGCAGACCTTGATGAAGAAGGTGGGATCTACATCCCATATCGTACCCATGGAAGCCTTTTCAACCTAAGGCGACTGAAGGCCCACACTAAGACCTTAAACCATCTTGTCCGGGAGCTGCTTTACGCTGCCGCCGCCGCCCTCGTGGCTCACACAGTGGCAGCTCTGCAGCGTTTAACATCCTGCTGTGCTGAGGCTGCTGAGCTCTTTGGGCTGGGCGTCAGCTTGAAGAAGACACAAGTTCTCTATCAACCAGCACCTCAGGAAGGCTTCCATCACCCCCACATCACCATTGGCCAATCAGAGCTCAAATCAGTCCAGCAGTTTAATTACCTGGGTGACCTCATCTCCTCGGACGGTGAGATTGACGGAGAGACAGACAACAGGTGAGCAAAGGCATCGAGAGCTTTTGGAAGGCTCCATCAAAGAGTTTGGTGAAATAAACACCTGAAGAAAAGCACCAAGATCAGTGTTTACAGAGCCATAGTGCTGTCTACTCTCTTCTACGGATCTGAATCGTGGGTCATCCACCGCCACCACCTGTGGCTCCTCGAACGCTTCCATCAACGCTGTCTCCGCACAATCCTAAACATCCCCTGGTCAGATGATGTGACCAATACGTCTGTTCTAGAACAGGCAGCAGGCACAAGCATTGAGGCCATGTTGCTGAGAACACAGCTGAGCTGGGCAGGGCACGTCTCCAGGATGAAGGACCAACCACCGCCTCCCGAAGGTCCTGCTTTATGGTGAACTTGCCACCGGCTGCCGCAAGAGAGGAGCCCTGAAGAGGAGATACAAGGACTGCCTGAAACAACATCTCAGCCTTGGCCATATTGATCATCATAACTGGTCTGCTCTGGCCTCCAATCGGGAGGTCTGGAAACACACCATCTATAACGCTGCTGCTCCCTTTGAGAACGCATGCAGGATCACCTCTGAGGAGAAAAGACAACGAAAGAATCGTGCCTTGCAGAATTTACCACCTAAGGAGTCTTTCTGCTGTACCTTTTGCAACCAAACGTGTCTATCTCACATTGGCCTCTTTAGCCACCAGCGTGCTTGTAGCAAATGTGGGTAGAGCCCTTCCCAAATCTTCGTTGGCGAAGCCCAGCCGTGATGATGCTGATAAAGTGGTCTGTGAGGTTGGTGGGTGTGCATGCTTTATGGAGCTATCTTCATGTACCCAGCACACTGAATGAAGTCATGTGGGCTTTCTAACCCAAAAAACTGGTTGGAGAGTTTGTTTCCCAGTTTTCAGTACCAGAACCTGATGGAACCAAGGGGATCCTGTGACACTGTGGGGGCTCAGGGAACCAAAGGGACCCTGGGACACTGTGGGGGCTCAGGGAACCAAAGGGACCCTGGGACACTGTGGGGGCTCAGGGAACCAAAGGGACCCTGTGACACTGTGGGGGCTCAGGGAACCAAAGGGACCCTGGGACACTGTGGGGGCCTCGTGGTGCCCAGGGCTGAGGAATCCCGTGGGTGCAGGTGGCTCAGGGAGCAGCTGCAGTTGGAGCTGTGGGATGAGCTCTGGGTGAGGGGCCTCAGACAAAAGGCCGTGAACTGCCCACCCTGGAGCAGCCAAGGGAGAGGACACTTGGAGACAGGGCAGGAGCCCAGGACTCAGCAGGAAGAGCGTTTTGTGTGCTTGGACTGTGAGGAGATAAAACCCCAAGGAGTTTTTTGTTGGGGGTCCTTCCTCGAGGCACCAGCTCAGCCTGTTTTTGTGTTTCTTCACAAGAAAGAAATTGTTTTCCTGTTTTTAAGACATCAGAGACTCTTCCATAGGAAAGCTGGGGTGGAAGCAGTGAGGAAACCTGGTCTGACTGTGAGAGTGGGGGTGTGGGGAGTCACAGGGGATCCGTTGGGTCACTGGAGCTGCTGCTGCTGGGAAGGGGCCTGAGGGTCAGCAGTGCCAGTCTGGGCTGGTGGGAGAGTGACTGCCAGGGAGTCTTGGGAATGGTGAGCCTGGGAAGTTCCCTTAAGAGTGTGAGGGGGATCTCGTGTGCAGAGACCCCCAGGAGCCCCCTGAGCCGCTCTGCTCATGGCAAGGATGCAGAGAAGGCAGAGTTACTGAACACCTTTGCACTGACAAGACCAGCCCTCAGGGATCTCTGGCCCAGGAGACCTGGATATAGGAATGTTGGAAGGAAGACCTTGCCTTGCTCAAGGAAGATTGGCTCAGAGAACACCTCAAATAACTCCACACCCACAAGTCCATGGGACACTTCATGACCTCCTGTCACCAAGGGGACCCTGTGACACTGGGGCACCTCGTGGTTATCAGTCTCTTCCAAACGTTGTGTGCAACCACAGAGAGGCAAAACAGTGGAGCCTGAGCGTGTGGATCCAAACTCTTCCCATCTCACCTGAAGATGTCCCTGCTAACAGAGGTCCTGTGTGTTCCCTCTGCTCTCTGGGCACTTGCATCCTTTGAGAGCTGCCCATCACTCTGGTAGCCAAGAGCACAGGGCAGGGGATCCCCTGGAGGGGGAATAGAGACATCTTTCCTAGATCACCTTGCTCAGAGCCCCATCCAACCTGGCCTTGAATGTTTGCAGGGATGGGGCATCCACCACCTCCCTGCAAATGTGTTCCTGTGTTTCAGCATTCTCACTCTAAAATATTTCTTCTTTATCTCTAGTCTGACCTAATCTTTTTGTAGTTTAAGCCCCTCAGCCCCTGTCCTATTGTGACAGGCCCTACTGAACCCTTTGCCCACATGTTTCTAGAAGCTGCCTTGAAGTCCTGGAAGGCCCCAAGGAGGTCTCCCCACAGCCTTTTCTTCTGCAGGCTGAAGAGCCCCCACTCTCTCAGCCTGTCTCCATGCGAGAGGTGCTGCAGCCCTGGGATCCCCTTGGTGGCCTCCTCTGGAAGTGCCCCAAGAGGTGCGTGTCTTTGCTGTGCTGAGGAGCCCATGGAGCTGCAGGAGATGCCAGGGCTGGCAGGGGAATCCCCCCAAGCCATTGCCATTGCGGGCGGGTGCGTTGCAGACAGCCAGAGGAGCCCAGAGCTGGAGGCAGCACTGCAGGAGGGGTCTCAGCTGAGCGGAGCAGAGGGGCAGAACCCCCCTGCCCTGCTGCCCACGCTGTGGGATGAGCCCAGGACGTGGGGGGTTGTGGGCTGTGAGCTCCCACTGCTGGCTCCCATCCTGCTTTTCATCCCCCACTGTCCCCATGGCCTTGGATGCAGGGCTGCTCTCCATCCCTTCAGCCCCGAGCCTGGCCCTTGAGATCTGGGGGCATTTGACCCCCGCTGGCCCCTTTGATCCCCTTTCCATCCCTCCCAGAGCCCAGGGGAGGACTGAGGGGCCTCGGCTGATTGTCCCTGACCCTCCCCTGCCCCGACACCAAGCTGTGCTCCTTGGGGACGGAGCTTGGACAGCCCCAGTCAGACCCTGTTTCCCGCCGTGCCCCCAAAGCACCGGGTGCCCCAGGGGCCGTGGGAACACCCATGGACACGGGAATGCACATTGAGTGGGAACACACCCACCCAGACAGGCCCAGAGCATTGCTTTGCATCGGGAGTTTATTGATTCTTGCAGGGAAATTCCCAGGGCACCCAGGGGATCAGGGGCGTCCTCCAGGGATGATCATCTCCTCGTGCCGCTGGAGGGGGACAGGGCACGGGTGTCACCACCAGCCCTGAAAGACAGAGCCCAAATCGTCCCCCCCAAAGGCCACTGCAACACGAGAGGGGCCTTGTCCTGCCCCCTCTCCCTGCAGGCCCTGCTCCCCTCAGCAGCCCCGGCTGAGCTGTCAGAGCAGAGTCGGGACGGCCGAGGAAGGTACCGGAGTCAGTTGTGTGCAGGGAAGATCTCTCCTTCCTCGGCATTTTCTCAGCTGCTTTTTTATCCCCCTCGCTGGCAGCAAGCAGGGTCCTTATTTTAGGTAACAAGCCACAGCCTTTTCATTGGCTGGGTTCTCTGGGCGACACATTTGGCAAAGCTCAAGGACCCTCCAACCCCCCCAAAAATTAACGGGGACCCTCCCAACCCCCCCAAAATTAAGGGGATCCTCCCGAGCTTCCAAAAATGAAAGGGATCCTCCCAAACCCCCAAAAATTAAGGGGACCCTCCTGATCCCCCCCAAAATTAAGGGATTTACTGGGATTTATTGGGATTTATTGGGATTTACTGGGATTTATTGAGATTTCCTGGGATTTATTGGGATTTATTGGGGTTTCCTGGGATATATTGGGAGTTAGTGGGATTTCCTGGGATTTATTGGGATTTCCTGGGATTTATTGGGGTTTCCTGGGATTTATTGGGATTTTTTGGGATTTACTGATATTTACTGGGATTTAATGGAATTTTTGGGATTTACTGGGGATTTATTGGGATTTCCTGGGATTTATTGGGATTTACTGGGATTTATTGGGATTTTTCCCCATTTTCCCTGATTCTCCCCCTTTTTTCCCTCCCCATTTTCCCATTTTCTCCTATTTTCCCTCCCCATTTTTCTCATTTTCTCCTGATTTTCCCTGATTTTCTCCCCATTTTCCCTCTCATTTTTCCCATTTTCTCCCCATTTTCCCTGATTTTCCCCCATTTTTCCCAATTCCCCCCATTTTCCCTCTCCCATTTCCCCCATTTTTCCTCCCATTTTCCCTGATCTTCCCTCACTTTTCCCTCCCCATTTTCCCATTTCTCTCCCATTTCCTTCTCTCATTTTTCCCATTTTCTCCCATTTTCCCCTCTCCCATTTTTCCCATTTTCCCCAACTTTTCCCTATTTTTCCCACTTTCTCTCTGATTTTCCCTGATTTTCCCCTCCCAATTTTTCCCATTTTCCCTCCCTATTTTCCCCCCATTTTCCCTCCCCCATTTTTCCCATTTTCTCCCCATTTTCCCTGATTTCCCCCATTTCCCCTCCCCATTTTCCCCCATTTTTTTCCCATTTCTCCCTGATTTCCCCCCATTTTTCCCACTCCCTCCTTTCCCCCCTCCCCCATTCCCGGTCCCGCTCTGCGCCCGCGAGAATTTGGGATCATTTGGGATCATTTGGGATCATTTGGGATAATTGAGGAGCGTTTGTTCCCAAAACAATGGACGGGGGGGGAGGGGGGACCCCCAAAAATGGGGGGGGCACCCAGAGACCCCAAAAATGGGGGAGGACCCCAAAAATTGGGGTCCCGGGGGGGATTATTGAGGGAATTTTGGGGTCCCTGGAGGGGATTTTGGGGTCCTTGGGGGCGATTTTGGGGTCTTTGGAGGGGAATTTTGGGGTCCCTGGAGGGAAATTTTGGGGTCCTTGGGGGGATTTTGGGGTCCCTGGGGGGGAATTTGGGGTCCTTGGGGGGGATTTTGGGGTCCCTGGGGAGAAGTTTGGGGGTTATTGGGGGAACTTTGGGGTCCCTGGAGGGATTTTGGGGGTCCCGGGGGGAATTTTGGGGTCCTTGGGAGCGATTTTGGGGTCCCTGGAGGGGATTTGGGGGTCCCAGGGGGGGAATTTTGGGGTCCTTGGGGGGCACTCGGGGAGGGGACCTCCAAAAATGGGGAGAGGTCATCCAAAGACCCCCAAAAATTGAGGGGGGGGGTCACCCAAAAACCCCCCAAAATTGGGGGGGACTCTCCAAAAATAGGGCGGGAGGACCCCCAAAAATGGGGACGGGGGCACCCAAGGACCCCCAAAAATTGAAGGGGGGCACCCAGAACCACCCCCCTCCCCCAAATCCTTTCTCTCCCTCCCCCCACCCCAAAATTCCAGGAATTTGGGGCCCTTCCCCCTCCCCCCCCCAAATTCCGGCTCTGGTCCCGCCCCCCCCCTTAATTGCTGAGCAAAGGAACGGGCGGGGCTGGGGCACCGCGGCCCCAAAAATAGGGACCCCCCGCCCCCAAACCCCCTCCCGGATCCCTCGGACCCCCCCAAAATTTGGGCCCCGCCGGATCTCTGGGACCCCCTCAGACCCCCCCGGGGACCCCCCAAAATCTGCCCTCCCCATACCCTGTTACCTGGGTAGACCTGATGTCCCAAACACACCTGAGACCCCCCCAAAAAACTCACCTGGGACCCCCCAGCACCCACAGGTGACCCCCCGGACACCCCCAAATACCTGAGACCCCCCCAAAATTTGGGACCCCTCGGATCTCTGGGACCCCCTTCCCACACTCTGAGGAGGGTCTTGGAATATTTGGGGGGGTCTTTGGGGGGTGATTTTGGGTCCCTGTCAGGATTTTGGGGGTCCCTGGGGGGGAATTTGGGGGTCTTGGGGGGATTTGAGAGTTACTGGGAGCACTGGGGGGACACTGGGAGGTTACTGGGAGGCACTGGGGGGTTACTGGGAGCACTGGGGGGAACTGGGAGGGACTGGGGGGTTACTGGGAGCACTGGGGGGAACTGGGAGGCACTGGGGACACTTTGGGTCTCTCCTCAAGCCCCGCCCCGACCACACCCCATCAGGCCACGCCCCATCAGGCCACACCCCCTCATCTGCAAGACCTTTATTGACAACCAGAACCCTCTCCCCCCTCATGGGCGGGGCTCCGCTGGCTCCTCCCCTTCTTCCGGTGTGGGTGTGGCCAAGGCCAGTACCGCCCCCCTCCAGCGCTCCAGCCAATGGGAGAACGGGATGCGGCCGGGGGGCGTGGCCTGGATGTGCTGGGCGGGGAGGTCCCACCTGGAGGGCGTGGCTTAGCCAGGAGGGGGTGTGGCCAAGCCAGGATAAAGCCACACCTCCTCTAAACAAGCCACACCTCCCAATGAAGCCACACCCCTCCAAAATTAAACCACGCCCCAAAAGCCACAACCTGCAAGTTGAAGCCACGCCCCTCCCAATCCAGCCATACCCACTTTGATGAAGCCACACCCACTTAAAAATGAAATCACACCCCCACTGAGACCACACCCACAATCAAGCCACACCCCCTCCAAGTCAAGCCACACACAAAATGAGGCCACACCCCCTCAGAAATAAGCCCCACCCCTCATCAATTAACCCACACCCACTCTAATTAAACCACGCCCCTCCCCACCAGGCCACGCCCCTTCCCAATTAAACCACCCTAATCAAGCTGCCCCTTAATTAGGCCACACCCTTTCCTATTAAGCCACACCCCTAAGGTGAAGTCACACCCCCTAATTAAGCCACACCCCCACTAATTAAAGTCACGCCCCCAAACCTCACACATCTTATAATCAAGCCACACCCCCTCCCAGTGAGGCCCCACCCCCAGGGGGCGTGTTCTGGCTCACCATTGGCTGACGGTGTCCAGGAGGCGGGGCCAGCCCTCGAGACACTCCTGGCACTTGTCACTGACCAATCGCAGCCTCTGCAGCAGCTCAGGGGCGGGGCCCGGGAAGGGGCGGGGCCCGATAGGACACACCTCCTTTGCAGGAGGAGGCCCCTCCCCCTTTTTGGGAAGCCTTGCCCCCTTTTTGGGAAGCCCCGCCCTCCGGAGCTCGTGGCGGAGCTCGGCCACGCGGTGCAGCAGGAGGGGGAGGGGCTGGGGGAGGGAGGGGGTGGGGCCAGGTCAGGCCACACCCACACCAGAGCCACACCCACTTTCACAAAGCTCCTCCCCTCAGTCTCAAAACCACTTGGCCCTGCCCACTTTTGACCCCTCCCCCAACCCCTCAGGCCCCTCCCCCACCATTCCAGCCTCTTCCCCACACCCTAAGCCCCTCCCCCTGAAGCCTTTTTTTGTCCCCTTTGGCCCCACCCCCTTTAGCCCCTCCCCCACCCCTCCAATCCTTCCTCTTTTAAGCCCCTCCCCC